ACACGACATAATTAATCTATTAACTGATAATTATACGTGACATGAAAGAATAATAAGTAATGTATTCCTGGCGCTGAATTAATTAATAAGTGTATGCATTATTAAGTAATGCGTCGATCGATTTTCACAACTAACTTGTTCTAACAAGACGCATATTGAAACTGAAAAACTATTTCATTTCAACAGTATCCATCATTGGACAGCTTACCCTGAAAAATGATAATTGGGTGAAATACATTCATTAAAATGTGTTCATATTTTAATATTGAAAATAGTCTGATGTAAACTGAAAGGTGCCCAAAGAGTTGAAATGTTTTTTGAGATATTTTTATAATACCGTTGCAGCCGAGATGATACAAATGACTTCAAACTTCCCAGTGAAACACAATCGGATGGAGAATTCTTGTTCAGTGGCTGACGGTGAAATTCCAGTCACAGAAAAATCTCCAATAACACATCCGATGTTTACAAAAATATATACTAGTTTTCATTTCTGTGCAAACACAATGAGCCCATATTTACTCGGCTATTGTCTGTACGCACATTACTGCCAAGACAATGCTGTGTTTATTAACAATGCCGTCCAGCTCCCTAGCACAATTGCAACACGTCTCGTGCATTGAAGAGAGCCGGTTTACTTTTCTTGTTCTTCGAAGAGGCTCAAAGTCAATAATTACTATTGGCCATAGAGGTGTTTTGAAGAAATGAACGCAAACCCACACCTTGTGACGTTTAAAACGTTCATAGAGAATAGCATATTTTAAACGATTTCCAATTGTTGGTCTCTGCAAACTATTTGGCAGTACAACTCTTACGAATATTGCGGTGAAATTATGAAAATATTAGTAAAATCGACCCAACCGTGTAAGTTGTAAGCCCGACGAAACATTTTTAAACGCATTAATGTGTTTGTTAATTAAAAATAATTAATTGCGAAATTGTTTTTAGTTCATTAAATCGTCGCGATGAGCAACGAAATTCGTTAGATTCGTGTAGGACATCCTTCTCCCTGGAAACAATAATTCCGGCGGCCCGCGCATGTCATGATGATGCTTAAAAAATTCGCTAAAAAAAACTCTCCGGTTTGAAATCCTTACAGAGATTTGATACCACGCGGTCAACAGGACGGTGGTCGGCGTCTCCACAGTAGCCATTGAGTCGGTCACGGATGGTGAGTAAGTTGCGATAGGTAAAATATTATGACTGTTGGCGCGGACAGCGGGTGCACTGCAAACGAGATGCGATCGCAGCCCATTGCAAATAGACTACGGATCATGAGATTTTGATCCGTCAGCTTAACCGTCGTGCAATCGACACACGAGTGTAACGATGTCATTACGGTGCACGTGATCGTTACAGGACAGGCATAAGGAAAGCGCGAGAGAAAATGTAAAACGAACAGAAGAAGAAGAAGGACGTTGGATACTATTGGCAACGGTCGGGCGCCTGGTCGCACGTGACTCGAAGGAGTAAAACGGGTATTGCTCGCCCGACATATTTAGTCAGAGCACGTCACCCGTTAATGTCCCAACCTTGACTCGGCTGACGGCAGCGGCGGTAGAAGGGACCGCACTGACCGGCGAGTGCGGCCAAAGGATTTGTAAGCCGGAGACATGTGCGTGCGACCTGTGTAGGAACCTCCCGCGTCGTCCAGTGGGAACGCCGCGTAAAGGTAGGCGCCTGAATTCATTCAAAAACTCCGCGGCTGTTCCGCCGGCTGAGCTCGCCCGACGTGTGCGCTGTCCGGTTCAACGTTCGCTTGGCGGTGCGTTACCGACGCCAACAGCAGCAGCAACAACAGCCTACACCGTGCGATTCACCGGCATAATGGAACTTTAACGAGGAACGTGTGCTGAACCGCAAAACAAATTTTTCACGTTTTTCCGTCCGTTTGTTACCGCCGCGGAAAGGTGTCGGCTGTTATTAATTAACGTTATCATTGTGCTTGAAAAAATAATAATCTAAAAACAAACGGAAAAATGGAATACACGACGCTAAATATGAACACCGCGCGTTTATTTATTATAATACATGATATTGTTTTACTGTATGTTTTATAGGCAACAGAGCGCGACAGAGTCGTGGTGCCAGTGAAAACAATGCAAAACCGGCAGATGTTGGTTTTGTTTTATCTTTATTTTTTTAACTTCCTTCGCGCGTTATATTCGCTACAAGCCTTACACGCGAGTCACAATAGCGCTCGTTATAGTCGTCTTACGTTATTTTGTTCCACGTGCAAACGGCGGCGGCACACGGAGTTCATTGAAATCGGAATTAACGTTAAAGGGTTAATTATACGCGTGGTGGATAATTTTTGTTGCAAACCGGTCGACTGCTGTTGAAAGGCCGCACGTAAAGTGCCCGTGTAGTTCCGGAGGCTGAGAGTTTGGCATGAGACCAATTTATCGACGTGTACTCGCGAAGGTCACGACGAATCGAAAACAAATTTCGTTGTCATCCCAATCGTCTGTGGTTTGACTTGAGCGTACTAATCTCGGAGATCTTAGTATCATTTTTTGTCGTCCGCAGTGGGCGCCAGAATCAACAACAACATCATTAAAAAATATAATAATAATCACTTATCCGATTGACACTGCATATTTTTCACGAATGACGGGGCAGAATAATATTCCAGTGAATCTCTGCCAGAGATCACCTTTAATTATTATAGACTCATGTATAATGTATAACTCTATTTGTAGATGTATTAGGTGCGCTAAATACACGACTAAAAATGATACAATGACATTTATGTTAAACATTATAATAGCGATTGTTGTCGTGAAAATTATGCAATTCAGTTCATACGCTTTGTTACTTTCAATGCCGAATCACGGTCACCAAAAATAATTCATACCATTTTAAAGGTTGTAATCCATTTTTACGGGAGAGTAATAGGGAATTATTCAACAGGGAGTGGAATTTTTTTAGTGATCAAATTTTATTTATATTTTTTTTTATCATCTAATAATTTTGCACCCGTCTTTTGAAATGTGATGGTCGTACGAAACAATGCAATGAACCTGTTATAACAATATGAATTTTAAACAAAATTTAGTGTTTCCTTATTCTAACAGGCAATTCGGCCTGAAAATCCTTTCTAGGATTTTTCCTAAAGTTATAAAACATTTTTTTTACATAATTTGTTTAATTTATTATCTGATAGCAGTTACTTTTAGATGTGCTTTACTTTATTGATTTCATATATTTATCAGTCAAATTAATTTTTTACCATTAAAAAATAACTACACGTGTAATTTTATAAAAAACGCATCGATGAATTATTTTATTTCATCGCGATAATATTTAACGTATCAAATAATTTTTGTGTTATTTAACGATGTTTGCGATGAATGAGTTTAATGATTTTTCACGTAAAAGTCAATCTCGTTCGTTAGGTTTGTGCAGAACATTATTAACCAAAAAAAACCACACAACTGACTCGTAGAGATTTTAAACGTACCCGACAGAACTAGGATGACTTTGGAGAAGGTGTTATCACACTGTGCCTGGTATGTCGTGTTTCTGTCAGTTCGGTTAGACGGAGGTACTTGCTCTCAGTCAGTCCTATCAATCTCATCGAGCAATTCCCGTGTAGCGACCACTGCACGATATCCATTAATTTGTTTATTTGTACGTGTGTAACAACTATAACGTCTGGCACAGATGATCGGGGCGGCGTTGGTTCGTTTGCATATTCATGAGACGGGGTTGATACGGCGGAGAAGCAGAAATAAAAAAATAATACCGTCTTGGCTGACGTTTCTGTACAAACCATGTGTAAATACTTAATAATAATATAATGGTGTGTATTATTATAATGTGCGTGTAGGATACCTAAAAACCACTTTCGGTGCCGAGGTGGTGGTGGTGGTGGTGGCGGCGTCGGCGGTTGTAATTTATCGAGCGGACAACTGCCACCGGAATTAATCTCGGACCCCGACAATTGCCGGCCGTTTATGCAAATCGAATACATAGGCCGCCGTCGTCACCGCCGCCGAACGCATTAATATTTTCTTCCCGTACACTTCTATACCTATATAAAGGTACACACAAACAAGTCGAGTGTTTTTTTCCCCTTTCGAGTCGCTTTTTACCACACGTCTTCTTCTTATTTCTGTGTCCTCCATCACCGTACGCACGGCAATCCGGTAGCCGGGATGAAATCCAATACTATCCGCCTACCGCCTCACGGCCGTACGCTGATAATTAAAAAAGCATAATAATTCAAAAACTGGCTCCTGGAATTACCTGTCCGCCCGGAGTACCTACGCATCGCTATTATTAGTTTTCTCTTTTTTTGATTTTTATTAAGATTTTTCCTCGGTCAAACGTCCGTCAACGCCTTTTGAACGGTTCTCTTTTACCAGCCCCCAGTAATAGTGACCGAAATTACAATTTTCGACGGTACACTTAAATCATAATAACGACGATGTAATGAATATCGGAGCGGTGTAAAGAGATTATCGGCAAGTTCCTACCGAGAATAGCTCGTGCTCGAATAGGTCTCATACGTTAACCAGTGTAATGGCTTCCGAGGATAGCGTTGTAATGATGATTTACTTGTTAATTATTTTTCGTAAAAAATAACAGTTTTTACAATATATTATTGTGTGCTTCATCATGCGATACATATTCCGTCGTTCGAGAAGGATATGTTGCCGTCCGGAGATTTTTTTTCGTGGTAATTAACTACTTTGAAGTTCATTATTGGTGTAATAGGCCACTAAATCAAGAGACTATGTCGTTGAGTTTTCCAATGCTTGGTTGAACATTACATTTGAGAACTATGAGTATTATTTTTATTTTTAACAAGCAACTAACTTCAAGTTGTTCGAAAAAAGTAAATATTACGCAAAAATATCGCTTGTTTTCTCGATAAAACAATGGGAATTCTTAATAACTTATCATTGTTAGTGGTCATATTCAGTCAAAATCAAACTTCATTACAGATACTGTTATTAATAATCATGACTTATATTGGCAAAATAAACGCAACACATTTTAGAATAACTATATTAAATATGAATATAATATATTATATTTATCCATTCTGTGTCACAATCTCATGAGTAAAAATGAATTTGTCACCTCAGAGAACTAAATAACTGCTAATGCGGTATTGTATTGCTATTAAAATAACTTATCGATTGACAAACAATGATCAGCTGAAACAATATATAAATACTATACTTAAACAAAACTTAAGCTATTTAAATCAAATATTTGATTAATATTTAAACGAATTATTTTATTTAGCTTCAATTACAGTTTGATAGTGTAAATTTCACACAGTTTTAGTGTGATAAATTATTTTTACCTAGATCATAAAAGCTCAACTTGGCCGATATTGCGAAATGATCGACGACAATCGCAGTGTTTGATGAAAACGGCGTCAATGAAATTTCGGTAGTCTACCGGCTAAGGATAGTGGTAAAGTTCCGAATAGAACTGCTAGGAAGTTAACGATAGGGGAGGGAGTCTCATAAACCGAATGGCATACAATCACACCGCGTGCCCGCTTATTACTCACACACATAACCATAGTGTGGTAGTCATGGCGACCAACCAGCGCCATTTGCATATTTCCCCCCAAAAATCGCTCAAAGCGTGTTGTTTTTTATTATTATTATTATTATTATTATTTTTATCAATTTTCACGTTGTTTCGGTTTGTTTGTGTCCTCGTGGAACGCCTCCAGTACGAGACAACCAAACTTTTGACTAGTAAACAAATAAATATTGTAGAATTCAGACAAACGGTGTGTTATTCTGAAATTATTTGTTTCGCATTGCGATCCGACCGAAAGACGCTACTCGGCGGAGAAGGTGACCAGCGATGTGTAGAGGGCTAATGACAAAATCGTGTTCAGCGGCTAGTCGTGACGCGGACCGTCACAGGCACCGGTCTGTCCCACGCAATTGCACGCCTTCTAGGACCACGGCGTGGGCTGCCAAAAACTCATAGTTATCCCCTAGACCTTATGATTTTTTTTGCTAATCCAAATTTAATAAGAATCATTTTTAAGATTATAGTACGTTTTCGACGATGATATACTTAAAATAATCTGGAGACGAGATATTATTTGATTTATTTAAATTTCACGGTTAATGGAATATTTTGCAACAAATCTAAACGACCTTTAATGGTATTAAAAAATAACTAATTATGTGAAATCCTGAAAAATACTATGTATGTTGGGTTAATTTTATTTACTTTTGACCTTAATAGAACCTTGCATAAAATTGATTACCACGAATGAAAAACACTTTTCCTAGTTAACAAACCTGCAATGAAAAAACTGTTAAGTTTTATTTATTATGCTTAAATGAAAGTACGTATCAGTTAATTCGACAGTGAAAAATCACTTTAAAATTTTAATAATAAAAACTTAGAACAAAATAGTTAAGATCATATGGGCAGGGTTAAAATAACAAATAACGTGGTGGTTAATTAAATTTTAAACAGGGCTTGAAACCGTTTTTATAACGTTATAACTACCGACAAAAAACGTATAACATAGTTCAAACGAAATAAAACAAAAATCAAAACATAAAGCTATCTTTCGTTGATTTACTAATCGATTTGAATAGAAATATGTAAGAGCAATCTTGTTGTGTACAATCTGAGGCGATGGAAGATGTGTAGGAATAAAAAGAGCAAGGAGAGTGGAGACTGTATAAGGTACTAAACAATGATAAAAATGTAACGCACGTATTGTTATAAATATATAAGGAATTAATATAATCAACAACACAGTTATTGTGGTACAAATAATTTGGACGAGAAGTTATTTAGTACTAAATGGCACAATGACGCAAACAATACAATTAATTACATAATATTAATCTAACAACTACAATTAAACGTCAAAGTAATACTCATCTAATTGGTCTGGTCGATGATTTGAAGTTAGAGTAGATTGAGGAGAAGGGTAAAGGAATGGACAACACATCGTATCAATGGTCATGCTAAGCTTAATGACAAAAATTGGATGAGAAGAGCTATGAATACATCGATGATTGGCGAGAACCAAAAACGGAATACAATATAATCCATAGCTTTTTAATTATTTAAAAGGTATAACTCAATGTTATTGTTAACGTAAATCAGAAATAATAAATAATATTATGTAGAATGTTTTTTTCCTAACCTAACAAATTTGAATGAAGTATCTTTTTTTTTGTGTGTGCACTGTTTTAAAAATTTCTTGTGAGCAAATAATAAAAACTTAAGGAGATATAAAGTTCACAGATTTTTAAAAAACCCTTAGAAGTGCTAAATTTGAAGAAATCATAGAAATCCTAATATTTAAAAAGTCTTATAAATGCAGAACATTTTTGACTGCCATAATAAATGCTTCGTTGCGAATCTGTATATTGTATTTTAATAGAATTTGTTTGGAGAATCCCTTTATTTGCATAATTCACTTACATTTTTAAAAATATATTTCAGTTTTGAAAAAATTCTAAGTTATTAACAAAAAAATTAATTACTTGAAAATTAATAAATTATCTTTTTATCTTTTAGTATGTAACATAGCAAAATTTTCTATTAAATAGTCCCATTTTAGAATATCTTCTATAAATAACATATATATATATATATATATATATATATATATTATAATTTAGTAAATTTAGAGGACTATGATCATATTATTTTCTTAAACACATAATTTTTAGACACTATAATACTATTTTATTATAGAAGTAATATGCAAAACAACAAAATGTCATTAAATATTACTCGTTGAAAAAAATTGTAATTTATTTGGTAATATTTAAAATAATATTGTTTTAATTATAAAGTAATCATACCTAATTAACTCAATATTGGTAGTTTTTAAAAATTAGTTAATCATTAAATGCATCTCTTAATTTTTGAATAAAATTTTTCCTGTAATAAACATAAAAAAAATAGGTAAACCAGAATACCAAGTATCAGGTCAATAGCCTATAGGTAACAAGATGGTCCATTGAACATGTTTTTTTATTCGATGTTTTTTAAATTCAAATTCATAATAGATCTTTCCTCGAGATTTTTGTAGATTTACCATAATGCAAACGACAAATGTATATTTACACTATATATTCATACGTTATAAGTGTGCGTTATATGTTTTATCAATAAGCCATGTCAACGTATACAGAAAACGATACGGCCGTTGACATTAATAAATATCAACTAGTTACACTATTTAGCATAATATCAAATTTAAATAATTTATTTTAGTACCATAAATGTAAATTATAATCACAATGTTTTTTTTTTAGTTAAGTAAACACGAAAAGTTAAGTATGTTGATAGTTTTTAAATAAAATTTCGATTTTACGATTTTATATTTTTACTAACCGTATAGTAATTAAAAATATAAGTATACTGATGTGACTATGATATTTTTAAGTAGTTGACATTTAACAACTAGACTTTCATAATTAACACATACGCTTTATCGATAAAAGAAGATTAAGTATTATAAGTAACCCAATTAATTAAAAATTCTACTAATAATTATAATTCAAAACTTGTTATAGACTACCCAATTCTTTAGCCAATTTTATTTTATTTCGAAAGCAGTTTTTTTATGTTAAGGTAGCTTCGTTTGGAAATGTTGTTTATGTTTTGAGATGTTACTCCGAATTGCGAAATTTTAGTGATTAAAAACCTCCAATATATAAAATACATTAAATTAATATACATTATCACATTATAAAAAGTTACCTAGAAAGTGTAGAAGGAGCAGTTTAAAGCTATAGAAAAATGTTTATTTGAGATCATCTTCTACTTTAATAGAAAGTTAACAATTTTACTTAAAACAGTTCAAAATAATGTTTATTTATTTAAAAACTACTTTTACTACTTTTCAATCACTGAGTTATTTCTTGAAATATATCTAATTACTACGGTAATAAAATGATCTAATAAAAACTCAGTACAACAGAGATTTGGCCAAGTAGAATCCTGGCACATTATGCAACAGTAGTATTGATTGAAATCCGTCAGTGGTTATCATCACATTTCATAAAACGCCTCGATTCGAACGTGTTATGAGAAAATAGTTTTGTCGAATTTGAAAATTTGTGTTTTTCTATATGGTACTTTGAAAAGCCTTTTATTAAAAAAATAAAATAGAAAATATTTTATGAATCAAAAATAACACATTTTATATTTCACGTATTTTGACCGTAGCAGCTCCGCATCTCGATTCTGATTACAAGACACATAAATAGCTCAATCGAAAACGCGCCTTGCCTCAGAGCAAAAGTATCGAGATTCGATTCCAATGTTCTGCACTATATAAAGTCCACGTCTATTTTCAGAGATAATATAAAATGACAATTTCTATTTTTCCGTAAAACTTAATGAAAAGTAAAAATATACTAAAAAACATTTATGCCCATACCCTTAAGAAAGTTAAATATGAATAAGACTCATTTAGAAATGCAACATTTTTTCAAATAGCAGTGTTCATTCTAAAGAATATTAAGGGAAGGTAAATAAAATCTATCCTAGCTAATTATGACATATGTATATATATATATATAGATTACAATTTTGCTTTTTCTATTGAATTCTAACTTAAGGTGAATATAACCGAAATTTTTCTCTAGCACAATAGCATCGCAGCGTTTTATAATGATTTTTATCACTGTCGGATAACAATCTATACTAGCCCCTCTGAGTTGGGTTCTTCTGTCTGTACTAGGTTTTTTATCTACTTAAAATTTCTGTTAGTTCGTATAGTTGAACGTGATGGCGTCGAATTGGACAAAATCACATAATAAACTGATATAATATATAAAAAGCGGCTTTTCTAGTTCAGTCGGTACCGTATCGTGTCTCGATGCGATGGTACCGTAGTTTGATTCTGTTGCACTGGGCTCTGTAAGTTTTCCTGATTAGCATAAGCAATAACATTTAGAGATAAAATATACGTAAATAAATAATGATAATAATAAATAGTGTTTGTGACTTTATGCATCTATAAAGTTTATTTTGGTCATCCCGAGTATGTCATTGATAAATAGATGTTCGTTTTTGTTAACCTTAATTAACATATATATATATTAATTAGGATTTTAATTCTAAGGGGTGTGGGAGGATCATTTCCACTAGAACAGAAAAGGTCCTGTCGTTTATAAATATAAATTTTTATGGAGTTGAGTGTCCCAGAAGTGGTCCAAACAAATTTTCTAAACACATAAAGTACCGGACCCAAATAATAATAATAATAATGTTAACAATTAAAAATTGTATAATTCTTTTACAGTTTTTATCTTTATTTACAGGTGTATCAAAATGTCAATTCAAAATTATTTGGGAGCTCCGTATTGAGAACTTATCTCGATATATACGTTTTATCTGAGATATTTCAGCGAAAATAAAACAATACTCATGCCAATAAGACAATAAGAGGGAATTCGCATATGGGCTCCGGTCGTGACATAGACGGGCGCCCTTTGCTTACAGAAATGACCACAACCGCTACTGTGCACCCGGTAGCGACCACTTGCTTACACCGAACGATCACATAATAGGTAGCACATACAGCCTCCCCCGCGCCTGTGTTATTTATGCTTTTATTGTTGCA